AGATCATTCTTATTAATTCACTTGTAATAAAGTTTTTGAAGTTTAATAAAGTTCATACACATTGGTTATATTAAATTATTAGATCCTTAAAACTAGTTGATCTATTGGGAAGCCCACAAATAAACTATTAAAGTTAAAATATAAAGTTGCTACTTTCATATTAGTGCATACAAGATTTTGCCCAAAAGTGATTGTTGTATGTATTGACTTGAAGTAGTGGAAGCAATTAGTAAGGATGATAAGTATTGATTTATATTTACTAAAGGTTAATTTTCCTACTAATTGATTTAGTAAGGTTTAATTTTATGAATTTATTTAATTAATGTAAAGTGAAAATAAAGTATAATTGTGTCTTGAACTCTTGTGAGTCAAAGTGAATCATGCTATGGATTAAAATATATTATGAGACACTTTTATGGAAACAAAGTTTTATTATTAAAATTATATTACCAATGCTCGATTGATGTTAATTTATGTATCTCTTAAGTGATTGGTATTTTGATTGCATAAGTTTTGATTAAATTTGGAGATACATGTTGTTCAACAAGAAAAATGGTAAAAAGGAAAGCATTAGTAATTATGATAAGAGTAATGCAAAATTTAAGATATTGTGAAATGCCTATTATTATTTAAGAAAATAACTTTCCTTGATTAGAAGATATTTAAAGGTTATTATGAAATCATGTGTCTCGAAAATTAGTGGGAGTTAAACAGTTTATTACTCTCAATCATTCAATATATAATAATAAGATTATTAATATGAGAAAGTTTTGGTTGCAATGGAGAAACCTTTAGACATGTGTTATAAATTAAATGGAAAATAATTCTTGAAAAAGATACAATTATCTTTATTAAAGTTGATAATATCTTGTCACTCTTGTATTTTTGTGTTTGATTAAAGTTTAAAGATCATATTATTTTGAATAATGGATAATAGAAGATTGTTTCCATTACAATATTTTATATTTGATAGTGTTAATTATCTATATAAATATCTTGTTGAAAGAATTTGGTGAAAAAGATATATCAAAGGTAATTGTTAATCTACTTTATAAAGTAAGAGTGACATGAAAGTGAAATTATAAATAATGATTATAGTCATGTGTTATTGTGACTATGTTAACTAATTTACTAATAAAAAGATTATAATTTTTTTAATTATTATATTCTTGATCAACGGGAGAAGTTGATTTCTCTGTTAATAGTAATAAGTTTTATTTTAATTATTGTATTACTTATTATTTTATAACAATGCATGTGCATTGTATTAATGATTTTTTATGAGCTCATATAGATATTGATCTTGAGATCTTGATGTATAAAGTATAAAGGTTTCTTCGAAAGTGTACAGATTTTTTTTGAAGTGTAAAGATTTTTCTAGAAAAGTGAGGGAGATTATCTCCTGGGTTTCTATAAAACCATAATAAAGTTTAAAGACCTCCTTAAAGAAGTGTAAAAGGGATTCAATCACATCATGATAAAAGGATTTCTTTGAAACCATAAAGAGAACTGTTGTGGTTTTGACATAGTATATATTGTATGGATCACATTGTGTCAAACCACACTACACTTTATCACACCTATTGGAATTAATGTTGCTGGAGATATTTGATATTTGTGATTGTAAGAGATCTTGTGTTATTAGAGACATAATGACTGCACAATTCGGTGTTTGGTATTTCATTGAACAAAATTCTGTACTAAGATTTTGATTTATATTTGTGGTCACTAAAATTGTATTGGACCCAAGAGTCATTTATTTTTTTAAATATGTTTTTTTAAATTTTAAAACCAATTAATGTTGCCCAAGTGGGAGAATGTTGGAAATTTTTATGTGGGCTACCGCTAATTGTATTTGATTTTCAAAATTGAGTCAAATAGAAAAAAACAGGTAAAGCCCAATAAAATAATGTGATCCAAATGGGTCTAGGCTTTATCTCAGTTTTATATAGTGTGATATGAATAAGTGTAGAGCTTGTAATTAAAGGTGGGCTACTTGATGGGGGCACCAAAAAGATTATTATAATGGGTTAGGTTCCTTCTCCCATTCAGAAAATCGTATTTCTATAAATAGAAAAGTTAGGAAGTGGCATAACCCATTGGTTGTTACTATACAGAAGTTGATTAGGGAGATAAAGACCTAAATTCCAATACTAACTATATTTGTTTTGTAGGTTTTGTCATAAGATCCCTAATTATGATAATTCTTGAAGACCCTTGAAAATTCTTAGGTAATGTATTGATTAAGGAGATCCAGGTGCACAATTTATTTATTTATTGATATTATGTATTACATATATTATTGATTTGAATGATTTGGTATTTTAGAATCTAATTTAGGAGATTGATTAGTTAAGTAAATTCCAATAGCATGACCCATTGGTTGTCACTATACATAAGTTAATTAGGGAGAGAAAGATTTAAATCCCAATACTAACTATATTTGTTTTGTAGGTTTTGTTGTGAAATCCCTAATTATGATAATTCTTGAAGATTTTTGAAAATTCTTAGGTAATATATTGATTATGAAAATTCAGGTACGTAATGTATTTATTTTATTAGATTTTGATATCCTAAATTCTACTTAAAATTCCAACATGTGGTATCAAAGTGGGTTATATGTGCATTTAGGATCTAACTTTTTGCTGTATAATATTTAATTGTGTATTTAGCGAATTAAAATGCATGACCTTAATTTCATAATCTAGTGGTGTTTGATTAATAAAGACAGAAACTTTCTAGAATATCGTAGATTAGAAATAAGAGATTGAAATCATGGTCCTTTAATCAAAATTGTCATGCTATCAATTCTTGTGCTTTCTATCTTTAAAGAACAGTAAAAAATTCTAGAAATTTTTTATTTATGGTCACTTAAATGTTTTTATTAGATTAATTACTAATATGGTGTGTTTTAATTGTTTGGAGATTGAATTAAAGTTTGTTGGATTAGAATTGTAATTCAAAACTTAAAAAACCTAATTTTGGTTTTTTAATTAGGTTATGTATGTGTTTAATTAAGAATTAAATTTGGAGTTTTTGTAAATTGTGAATCTGCAATATAACCCATTTAGGTTTTGTTCAACATCATGTTAAATGCAAAAAGTGAGAACCCAGGGAAGTTACTGTGGCAGGGATGATTAATGGGAAAAAACTGCTATTTGGTCTCTTACTAATTCTGTTTAAGTGCAAATCTGTCCCTAATAGTTTAATAAGGTTACAAATTAAGGTTTAGATATTAAATTTAAGATTAATCACTATTTAATCCTTTTCTCTTTCTTATGTTTAAGAAAATCTCCATGAATAATTATGTGATATGGAGGTAAATTTAGTTGAATTCTTTTAGATTTATGAGTTTATGTTATGATATTCTTTTGCTATTTAATACTTTATTTGAATTAACCAATTTTAAAAGGAGAAAAAAAAAATGGTTTAGGATTTGGAATCCTAATGGGAAGTGAAGAAAAAGGAGTTGATTAGGATTGGGTATCCCAATCTGTTAAGGAATTCAACTAAGTTAAAAAAAAAAATGTAAATAGAATTTAAGCGACCAGTGTTGTTATTTTACCATTTTTAGAAATTGCATGATGAACCAAAAGTCCGACACGGGCTTGTTTCTTCCACAAGGAGTAAAGGTGTCAACACATAACCAATTAAAAGTTATTGCGCAGATCTAATACAATGTAAGAGTGTCGACACTTAAGTAATTTGTCGCAATTAAGCATTGGGTGGTTTTAAACTTGTTGATATTGTGTATTGATATTTATACACAATGTATCAAATTTTATGTGAAAAATATCTATTAATATAATCTTATTTTAGATTTATGTGTATAAAAAATATTTATTATGTGGTTTAATTTTATAAAATCAAGATAATTGTTTACATAATAAATATATATTAATTCATTCCATCTAAATTAAAATAAATATTAAGTGTAACACATAAAATATGTGTCAATATTTGGAGGTTAAAGATATATGGTTAGTGGCAAATGAATTATTGATAAGATATGTTTTTCATATTTTTTGTTTAAAATAATTTTGTGAATATTATTATACATATGATATATGCTTCTTGGAAATTAAATTTCAAGATTTTGTTAAAGTAATTAGTCACAATTGAAGAGAATATGTATTAAAGGTGCACCAAAGATTGTTGAGAATTACAGTTTCAATTATTTGTCAAGTTGTATCAAGGCAAATTACAATGGTACAACCATATAAGGTAATTGAGTATGATTTTATTCATTAATATTTTATTTAAGATAAAGTTATTTGTTTTCATATGTGGATTCTAGCGTATGAATTCTATAAAGAGGTTTTGTGGAGTTAAAAATTGAGTATAACTCATGGCATATAATTTAAGGCTAAATCATTGGTTTTATAATAGATTTTATTGATAATTAATTACCTTCAATGAATAATTATGTGTTTATTATGCATATTGTTGATAAGCTAATTGTGGCAATGCATGAAAATTTTAAAATCTCAAAGAGAAGATATTTGATAGAATTCTAAGAATTTTAGAATTTGTATATCTTGGCTTATTTAAGATACTGATGAGATTTCATATGATTTTCTGAGTGTTAAAGTAAGGGAACCATTTAGTATTGAAAGTGTTTTCAAAAGTTTTAAGATTCTCTTAATTCATAAATTAGAGAATTATTATTATTAAAAATTATAAAACATATGGTTGAGAGGGATTGTAGAACCATAAATATAGATGATAGTCCTAATAATGTTTTATGATTAATTTTAATATCAAAAGTTTATTTATTAGGACTAATGATTTTTGTTACTTAAGTTTTTTTTGGAATATCAAGAAATTTTGTTCCAATGGGAGATTAATTAATCTTTCAATAAGGATTCTGGAATGTTACATTATTTATGGGTAATTGTTTCAGTGGAAACTTGTGAGCAAAGTTTTAAAAACTGACCCGGAGGTCAAACCGTTTTGACCTCCGGTTCTTGATTTAACCGGTTTAACCGGTTCAACCGTTAAAACCGCCGGCTCAACCCAAATGAATAAATATAATGTTGTGTAGTACTTTGACAAAACAAGTGCGGTGGATCAACTGGTTTGTAACCTTGCCCATTGCGGAGGAGGCACAAGTTCGAGCATGCTCCATGTTAAAATGTATGTAGAGTGTTTCTAAATTTTTAATGGGTTTTTTAATATATAAAAT